GCCCGGCCAGTGCCGGCACCCGGGAACGTCAGCACGCCGCCGTCCCTAGACAGGCTGCGCGCCCGCCCCATTGGGCGGAAGGAGAGGGCCGGCCCTCCCCATTGGCCCGGCCCTCATATTGAACGAGCCAATGGGAGCTGCGGTTTCAGGTCGCCATGGAGACCGATGCTGTTAAGAGCGAGAGGGCCAGGAGAAGGTGGGGAGTGAAGATGAAGGTGTCTGTGGCCTCCGGCGCGGGAGGGGGTGGGGGGAAGGAGTATTAGGGGATTCCCGAGCTAGCGCTCTGAAATCGGGCGGGTCTTGCTTTTGACTACTGCCAAGACTGTGCATGGTAGGGCTTGTCCCTGGCGTCAAAGGCAGAAACCACTGAGCCCCTGGACTTCGGCTTAACATTGAGAGCTCAGGAGTGGGCGGTTCATTTTTCCTGCACCTGGGGAGCCTGCAAGGCTATGCCCTTTGACCTTTGACATCCGTGCAGCCCGGTGAGTTCCACTCCATTCCTTAAATCTCTGCTTTCTTCCTGACGTCACAGGGCCACTTGAATTCTTCCAACCACTCCCCCTTCCCTGAGTCGAGTATTTCCTTTTTTTTTTTGGTTCTTCAAGCCTATGACCCCTCCCAAGGGAAACAGGATTTCTTGCGCGTGGTATTTTGGTAAGGAAACTGGATGCGATTGTGCAAAGGGATCGACCCACAGCAGAATGAGCTCTATGCTTCCCAAAGCAGCAAGTCCCTGATCTCTGCTTTCCCCCCTCCCTCTTGTCCTGTGTGCTTTCTGCACTGAGCGTAGCAGGTGCACGCTCTTTCCAGTATTTCACGGGCTGGAGCAGTGCCAGAATCAATCCCGATGATTTTTGCAAAAGAAGAAATAGGTTGCAAATGATGGATTTTTAATTTCTGACTACTTTCCAGATTATCTCTGAACTTGATAAAGAAATGATGAATTGGGACATGGAATCGGTACTCACGCAAAATCCTGACCTTTAGTAATGAGTGCTCTACTTTCATTTAAGTCATTTGTGCTAGTTTGCTTGTACTAATTATTTTTGATGAGCGATGTTCATAATTAGATACTACCCATTAATCTGGAACTTATAGACACGATACTACTTTTAAACATATGTTTAAAAGATCCTCACTCTAGCACATAGCCACTGATATATTCATCTCCTACTTTTGGTGACTTTGTTATTTTCATAATATCCTCTTTAGTTAAAAAAAATCCTGTTTATGCTACTTCCTCTCAAAATAAGGGACTGTATTAATTTTTTTCTCATATTGTGCAGGAAAAGCTGATAGGAAGTTTGAAATTGCAAATATTTTGTTGAAGGAAGCAGATGACTGTGTATGCAAGCTGTATGTATCTACCTTACATTCTGAATTATAAGTGGATGTTTGTATCTACTTTACATTCTGAATTATAATTCTGAATTAATTCTGAATTATAAGTGGATGTTTTGTTTTGCTGTTGGTTTTTGCATTATAAAATATATCCTAAGAAATGTTAATATGGCACCTTACTTGGGGAAAAAAATCTCCTTGGTACTTACTGTAAACTTGGATTTAATTGACAGTCCTATGCAGGGTTGAACTGTGGAACAAAAATGAGTAAATGTGAATATATCACTTAAATATTTTAGAATTAGGGTGGAGGCAGCAAGCAGTAAGGTTGGAGATATCTCATGGCTTGATATTAGGAAAATTGGCTGCTTTTGAGGGGTTTTTTTTTTGGTTTTGTTGTTGTTTGCTTAATGTGTGTTTGGTCATAGGAGAATAGGAAAAGGTAAAATCTGAAGGTTGATAAATGAGACATTTTAAATGTCTAGTCAAGATACCAATTTTTTGTAAAATTTTAAGTAAAATTTTAAGGAATGAATGGAAGTTTTGCCTAATCAAAAGCAAAAATGGGTGTCTCACTTTTTTCCTTTGCAGAAAGAAGGAAAAAAGAACCAATTTTATTTCTACCCTAATAATCATTTTCTTTTGTATTTTTCTCAAAACATGTATCCGACAAGTATTTTCATATTGTTTTGATGTGTGTAATTTACATGTCATTTCCATTGTCAGTGATTAAAATCTGGCTGAAACCCAGCAGGAATAATGAATGTCCCTAAATCAGTTGTCATTCAACATTATTTTTTTTTCTTGTTATATTTAGTGGAAAAAATGTTGAACTTTTATTGCTAAGCATTGCTGGTTAAAGCTAAGAAAACCCTTTGTTCCACTAAAAGTTGATGTTACTCAGAACCTACCTGGCTCCTATATTCCTTTCGCCATCAGGGTGGTGATAACCTAGGAGCCTTCTAGAGAGCCCCTCTTACATCTGCCTCATTCTGATAGCAAGTCTGCACTGTACTGAGAATCCCTCCATTCTGCAAGGAATCCTTCATAGGACTCCATCCACTCTGGGGATCCAGCAAGAGGCCCTTCAACTCACCTTTCTTAAACCCCAGTCTCAATTTTCACACCTTTGCCTCCATCAGCCCCTATTGAGAAGTGCCCTGACCCTCTGTTAGGCTCATACTCCAGCTGTGCTAATTAAACAGGATTTTTCTCTGTCCTTGGTGCCTTCTCAGATTCCCTTCTATACCCTCTCCTCCCAAGTTTCTCTCTTAGCCTCCCAAATATCTGGCCTTTTATGGAACCGTGTTTTGCTTATCCTCCCCCTTTATCTGCTGGCCTTTCCTTTCACCAAGAAGCAGTACTGATGGGAGAGCTCCACTTTTTCATCCCAGATGCTTTGACCCTTGAAATTGTTCTGAAGATGGTTCTGTCTGTCCACAAAACCGCGGCTCATTTGGCTGACTAAGTTCTCTCATATAACAATGTCTTTTGGACCGGGAGTGGGGTACATGCGTATAAGTGCAGCACTTGGGTACCAGAGGTGGTGGGGTCAGAAGTTTATCCTCATCTTTGTGTACATGGCAAGTTTCAGGCCAGCCCTGGTTACACGAGGCTCTGTCTCAAAACAAACAAACAAACACACAACTTTGCTTAAAACTTGGCAGGATTTGTAATCACTTGGGGAGTTTATACGCGCGCACACACACACACACACACACACACACACACACACACAGATTTTTTTTTTAAGTTTTTAATTTTTATGTGAATAAATTTATTCACTAGAAGACTGTCATATTCAAAGTCTTCTCACATTTAAAATGAGAAACACGAGGCAATAAGAGCTTCAGGAAACTGACCAATGTTACATCATCAATAGGCAATAAATCATGGCTATCCCTGACATGCTGACTATAGGGCTTAATTATTTTTTAAAATATTTTTTGTTTAAAACAATTTTTCAATTTAAATATATTTTGGTCATATTCTTCCCCTCCCCCAAGTCATTCCAAATCCTCTCCTCCTCCCTACCTACCCAACTTTCTTGAAAAACCAATACAACAAACCCTTCCAAACCAATGAAACAACTCCCCCCAAAACAAAACAAACCAAACCAACCAACAAAAGCCCTGTAACCAAATAAAAGCATACAAAAATACTGTGGAGTCTGTTATATGTGGTCAACAACTCCTGGACATGAGATCTGCCCTGAAGTGGTTGATATACTCAGTGTCACTCCATTGGAAAAAAACGGATTTTCCTGCTTCCAGCAGGTATAAGTGACAATTCAGTTGTTATCTTTATCCTAGTGGCTAGGTTTTCATTCATTCATTCATTCATTCATTCATTCATTTTTTTAAAAAATATAACAGAATAAAATATAGTAAGATAAAACAAAAACTGTCACAACTTGGGCAAGACAAACCAACAGAAGGAAAAGAGCCCAAGAGAAGGCACAAGAATCAGAGACCCCTGCCCCACTCTGAACACTCAGGAATCCCAGAAAAACATAGTTGCCATGGTTGGAAGTCAGCTTCCTGTAAGGATGTGGGAATACCTACTTACCTTGGGTGGGATCTGCCCCATTTCTGGGGCTGGACCCTGGACAAAATGGAAAGGGGAGACGAGCATCCCTTGTGTTCTCTGCTCCCTGACTGGGTGTCATGGCAGCTGTGTGGAGCACTTGCTGCTGTGACTTCCCTGTGTTTGGGCTATAACCTGAGACTGTGTGCCGGAGTCACCCCTTCCCCTCAGTTGCTTGTGTCAGTTATTTTATAACAGCAATAGAAAGGGAGCTGAGACACTCCCAATTCCAGGCTCTCCTAGGGGAGGGAACCTTTGCCAGCTAGCCTGAGGAGCCATAGAAATGCAAATGGCCTACTTGAGCAGAGGGAGCTGTGTGCAAACCGTCTAGGTCTGGCTGCTGGGTAGCCTTGGTGGAAAGAGGGGGCCTCTACTTAGGCTGATGGTGGACAAAGTTTACAAAGAATGAAGAGGTTGGGTGATACCCCAGGTTCATAAGTAAACAGCAGAACACCAAGGAACTCTCCAGCCCCAGTGCAGAAAGTTGACCTGGCCCTTGCCAAGGCTGGGAAGATGGCAGTACTCTACGGGGTTTACCGTTTTCATGTTAGCTCAAGATGATTAGTGAAAAATCTTCCTTTTGAAATATGGACATAGAAAGGAAGGACTAGAAGATGTCTCTCTCTGATATCTCTACAGTAGGCAGGAGCAGTGAAAACAGAAACTGAAAATACCCCAGCGCTGGTATCTTCTATCATTGAAGAGGCCTGTTTATACACAAGCAGGCAGGTGGTGAATGAGGAAAAGCATGGCAGTGCTGAGCCCCGGGACAATGGTTAGGCTCCAGAAATAGCTCAGGCGGTTCAGGATCATATATGTCTCACCTTCAGCCACATTGTCTGAAGCACGCAAGTCCTTCACCATCCTAAAGACCCAACCCGGTTTCCAAACCCTGTCCCCAACCACCAATCTCAGGCCGCCCTCTGCCTTCATATTATTGTGGCACTTGACATTTTACCTCCTGGTGTAGTTGTTTCTGTGCGAACATTCTCCCCAAGAGGATATGTTCCCTGGCATGTCCAAGGCTATCCCTTGGAGTGCCTGGAGCCCCAGAAGTATGCCGCACAGTAAGAGAAGCATGTGTTCATTAATCATTATAGTCCTTACAGGAAGCTGATTTCCAGCTATGACAGATAGGAATCAGTAATGTCGGGAGGTAACTAGAAAAAGATGAAATTAAATATTCAATGTGGAAAATGAGAATCTATGCAGAGTAGAGATTTCTCCTCTGTAGCCTTCAAAGACAGCAAAGCCCTGGAAACATGGGAACATTAGTGGAAACATGCATGAAAAGAAATGGATTTGTGTGCCTTCTTCACAACGAAGGCTGTAGAACTCTGTTTACAGGGAAAGCGATTGGAATGCAACTTTGCCAAGATGTTTGAATAAGAGTCACTTAAATTTTGTCTTCAGATGAAGCTCCAAAGTGATGCTGTCTCTCAAAACAAGATAAGATCATTAGAACTGAATAATTTCACAAAAATCAGAAAGCCGTCAGACATTTGGTATGTGTAACAGACATCTGTTGTGTGTGATGATCATCCTTCCTAGACCT